CCCCTGGATGTATCTGGACTTAGCTTGCATCCAGGGGGTAGGGCGTTATCAGAACGCCGTACCCTCAGGAACTGAAAATATAGATCTAAACCAGGCCAATTTACGAGTTTTCAATTTCGGTCAAAAAATAAAATATGTCCGTTTTGACAAAATTGCTGTTCTCCGACTCCGACCCTGACCTCGACCCTGACCCTGACCTCGACCTCAACCCTGATCCTGACCCGGGCGACCCCGACCCCGACCCGGACCCCGACCCCGACCCCGACCCCGACCCCGACCACCTACCCTGACACCTATCCCTACCCCTACCCTCACCCCGACCATGACTCCCACCACCTGGCCCCAAGGAAAGCAGAAGCAGAGTACTGAAACCGCAAATATGGCCTCACCACATGCCTCTCCAAAATGAAAGTAGATTCGAGAGGGGACTCGTGCAACTTGCAAGGTGCCAAAATTCATAAAGGCTTAGCCCACTTAGGCTGCTTCGCTGCACCCATATAAGAATATTAGCCCATGCAATTTATAAGAGGAAGAACGTAATGAAGACCGAAAAGCGGATAGCCCTGGATAACTTGAGAGTGTTCTGTCAGTTTGGGCACTGCAAATGAAACTATGAACCACAAAAAAGTGTGGAATGAGGCTGAAACTGCAGCTCCAGCTTTGGGCTGCAAAGAAGTGCAGCCCGAGACTCGTATGTGCAGAAAGGTTGCCTTTTGAATTGCCAGGCCCGTTTGGCCTCATGCCTGGTCCACAAAAATTGAACTACCTTCTTCCCCCGAATACAATGTACGGTCATTATAGCTGTATCTAGACCGAAAGATGCCTCAAATGCAGCTATAATGACCGTACGTTGTATTCGGGGGAAGAAGGTAGGTGTTAGGTCAAAACTCAAAAGTGACCATTTTTTTTTTTTGTTGTTGTTGCTGTTGAAAACCACGACGGGTCATTCTGTGATGAGGAGCTAACCCCTCTAAGCCCTCTTAACTTCCATTTCGGCGAATCGGACATTTTATATTTTTTGAACGAAATTGAAACCGAGTATTTTAGCCAAAAACAGGTCCAAAGTTTTGGCTCCTGAAGATCCGCTGTTCTTAAAATGTCGGACCCCCTGGATGTATCTGGTCTTGAGCTACGTCCATATACATCCAGGGGGTCCGACCCTCAGGAGCCAAAAATTTGGACCTCTTTTTGGCCAAATTACTCAGTTTCGGTTTCATTCAAAAAACAGAAAATGTTCGTTTTGACGAAATGGCAGTTTCTTGGCCTCATTCGGTGATCATGATGGCGAATTGACTGTTTTTCACAACCTTCTGCTGTGCGTCCTACTCGCCACCCGGACACATGGAGTTAGTCGAACGTACCGACTGAGTGCATGCGTCCTCTTTTTTTTTTTTTTCCCTTCAGAGAAGCCCTTTTGCAAGACCACAGTTCCGGCAGTGGTGAGAGAAGCACTGGAATTGAGGCTTTGCGTGCTGGGCTGCTCCATCTATTCAATTTGGTGGGGAGCGGCACCTGCTGGAAACCGGGTTGTGGCATACTGCGCATCCCCATGGGCCTGCAGGGCCGGACCAGATGGAAATAAGGGCCCTCCAGGCCCTGTGTCGTTTCAGCCTAAAAACCTAAAAAGGAGGGCCATTTTCAGGCCCTCGTGAAGTTGACCTGTCCTGAAACTTAGGTGCCAGACCAGGGTAGGCCCGTTTCAAGAACTTCAACGCCAGGGTCTGGCACGATTCGGCAGTGGCAAGAGCAGCCTCCCAGCCGGACCAGCACTATATAGTACTGGTCCGCGCTACAGGCTGCAGACAGTTCACAGGCACTTCACAGGCACTTCACGGGCAGCTCAGGAGGCAGTCTTCAGGATTCGGCCGCAGCAGTCTGGAGGATCACTGCATTAGTAGTAGCTAGTGCTAGGAGTAGTCTTCAGCGCTGGGCGCTGTTAGGAGCTTAGCGTGGCATTGAGAGAGAGAGAGAGGTGGCGGAGGCCAGGGAGACTTACCTGTGGCGCCAAAGCTCCAGCTTCGTCTTCGATGTACCTGCAACAAGGCGCCACCTTCACAGGTTATTACTTGGCACGAGAGAGAGAGAGAGAGAGAGAGAGAGAGAGAGAGAGAGAGAGAGAGAGAGAGAGTTCTTCTTCTTCCTCCTCTAAGTTCACCATCTCTCCCTCACCTGCTCGCTACCTGACTTCTCACTATCTGGCAGACTACGAGAGAGAGAGAGAGAGAGAGAGAGAGAGAGAGAGAGAGAGAGAGAGAGAGAGAGAGAGAGAGAGAGAGAGAGATTTGTGACTTTGGNAGAGAGAGAGAGAGAGAGAGAGAGAGAGAGAGAGATTTGTGACTTTGGGATGTTGACGACATTTGGATACAGACTCGACTTTGGGACAGAGACATCGGCGGGGGACTATTTGGATCGATATCAACGACATTTGTGTGACAACATTTCCATCTCCCCCCTCTTCTTCTTCTGATCCCCCTCCTCTTCATCTGTGTATGGTCGGAGCCTGGCACATTCTTCCTGTGTAAAGCGCCAGGCCCTTTCACACCTTGCGATGATGATGATGTATGTTTGGTCTGCATTGCGACATTGATTGGTCTGATCATCAGTATTTTAATCGTCCGCTGCGCTATCCTGTACTATGTGAGAGATGTCTGTTTTTGTTGTGGTCTGTACCATTGGGGTATGCGACACGGGTCCAGAGTCCCTTGGATACATCCTTTCAATGCAGCTTACGTTTTCCTTTGTTCTGGGGCTAAGGGCATGCATTCACTGCTAGCGTGGAGCGTGTATGCATCGTTCTCTCGCCACAGGAACACACAGTGTACAGTTTCAGCCATGTACAGTTTCAGCTTCATGGCTTAACATGAGACTCGGAGACCCACTACTTTCTGGTCCAGGATTGTTCTTGCCAAACCTTCTGCCATCATGATTTTTTTTTTTTTTTTAATGGGAACAAGGCTCAAATCTATTCGTGGGGAGCACAGCACGTGCTGGGAACCGGGCCCAGCGTCCCATATGGAAATTTTTACATAGAAGTTTTGAAAATTTGAGATATTTGAGATACCAGGGCCATTACGCGGCTTTGGCTAAGAAAAAATTGAACTACTTAGCAAATTACTACCGCGAACTTCAGGAATAAGCAAAATTCAGAAAATGACTCAGAAACCCCCCATCAATCCTCTTTACCTCACTCCGGCAAGACTTACTGCAACAGAGCCACCATCTCCTCTGCTGCTGTACCCTATTTCCGTCCTACGATCTAACCCCCTCACTAATAGGACGCTTGATATCCAACCATCTACTTCTCCATGCAGAGGGCCCTTTTGTTTTTAGAAGAGCATTCAGATCGAGAAATACCTGCCTTAGAGCCTTTCAGTAGCTCACCCTTACCTGCCTCATCCCTATATCCCGATACTTAGTCTCTACTAGGCCTCACACCCCCAACTGCTAGGTTACAGAGTGGCACGACCCACCCCAGAAGACTCCCACCTGCTAGGCTACAGGGCAAAATGACCCGCCCCGGCTCCGACCAGCATCGTCTAATTACCAGCTTACCAACGGACAC